CAACGCCTTCAGTATATTGAGAAAATGCAGTGTAGATGTTCTTAAAATTCGTTTTGGGGATTAAATAAATTAGTTGAAAATTGTTAAAAATCGTGGAAGACAAGTTATATTATGGGTGAGTAATATTAGATATAATTTAATTAGATGTGTGTGTAAAATATCATTGTCTTTCGATTTAGTTGCCTCTACTCAAGTAATGCGTCTAGACATTTAGAGTGAGACAAGATAGCAAAATTAGAAGGCGACCACTTCTTGCTAGAAATATATGAATAATGCAACAATTGGCTGAACGACGATCCTTTGTTTTCTCCCTGGCCCTTCGTTACAACCACGCCAAATTGCTTGAAAGCTATCGTTCTGGGCGACTAGTCAGTGACCAGTTTGACCTGCGGCAAGAATAATTAATAATTATCTTGGAACTCAACGCGACGCCAACAAACAGCACTCCCTGATCATAGACAATTTTGGATACATGGCATGCCACACCGCCTTGATGCTTCCAAATTATCCTTTCCTGTATAACTGTCAGTAACGGAGGGTTATTCTCAATTTTAAAAGCGCATCTTGTTATTTTCAGCATTTAGAAATTCCGAATTATATATGCTGATATCTTTTGTATTTATCCTTTTTCAATTCTTGCTCTTATAAGTAAGCTGCCGAAAAGTAGAAAATAATATACAATCAAAAATGTGAGATGATATTTTCATTTTTCAAGGTTTTTTAATTCGCTTAGTCTTTAAAATTACCCAAATAATACCTGCATAAATTAATAGTTTCTACCATATATCCCATATTTATCAATACAACTCAGAAGTATTAAAGCTCGCATATTAAAGTAAGCCATTTAATTAAATTTTATTATTTTTATATACCTTTAGAGTGAAGACAATAGGTTTAATTAGCAGCAGAAATAGAAACTGAACTCAAAATGAGTCAAGAAAGTAACTCTTTTTGAACTGCGAGAATTAGCATAAAATAATATGATACACTAAAAATAACTAAAAGAAATAATGCATTAAATTCTTGGAGTGAAAAATGTACGTGTAGTTTACACACATACTTTGAACAAGTGGTGTAGGTATGTCTCTCCTTTAATACCTGGAAAGAGAAGTTGCCTTGTGCAGTGTACCTACCCTAAAAACATTTCATCGACTCTACCTACTCTCTACTGCCCCTGACTGCCCCTCTACCTACGTCTACGTGCCATTAAATAATCCTGACGGTTGCTCATTAGGACCTTTATGAGCCAAAATATTCGGCCAGGCCAGGCCAGACCCCTTCTCTATTCGTTTTACTGCGCGAGGCCAACGCAAAATTCTTTCTTTTCTGTAGCGCTAAAAAATTATTCTACATAAATAATCGTAGGTTACAAACTTGGACGCCAACCATGATCCTTAAATTCTATTAATGTAAGCAGATTTCAATTGTGCGTTCATTTCAATTATTTATTTAAAATAAAATTTTCGATTTATTATTAAACTATTATTTAAACTTTAATTTATAGTGAATGAGAATAAAACGAAAACATTCGGACAAACAGTTTTTAAAAATTAGTTTACTAAATGTTACAAACTATTTGTCCGAATGTTTTCGTTTTATTCTCCTTCACTATAATTACTATTTCTCGGACGTAAAAGATTGATTAATAAACTTTAATTTATTATTCATTTAAAGCTTTTATTACATTCTCATTTTGTTGTACACTAATGGAATGCATAAGAATAAACAAAAGTGCCGCAACAAATATTGTTCCGCATTAACAATAATAAATAAAGTGAAATATGTAAATGTTATTTTGGCAATAATTTTCCTGCTTTTTGCATTAATGAAGTTGATTGTATTTTTGTGAGTATATTTTTACAGTTATCTATAATTGGAATTTATTTCTCAATAATTCGAATAAAAAGAAGATTAAATAAAAAAGAAAAAAAATAATACCCTACTAAATATGGACGTCTTGCAAGCAGGTAAACCCCTTTGCCTAAAACCCAGCGATGAATCTACTTTCTAAGAAATATTCTGCAATTTTAGTGGCGTGCGGTCCTTGGATGTTTTGTCTTTTGCAGGTGTGTAAGCCAGCTATATTCGTCTGAAGTCGATTTACGCGGTGCATGTATGTGTGTGCCTCCTGATGGAATCGTTTTACGGTGTGCGCTCATTAAACAGATTTGAAATGTTTTTGTATAGAAATTCATTTTAGGGTAGTGGTCGAGAAAAGAGAGTGCGTGTGTGCGTGTGTGCGTGTGTCTAGCCAAGGGCGAAACAGGGAAAGGGAGTGTGTGCATGTGTTTCTCTGTTGATACCAGGGCAGGGCAGTCATCGAATCCATCCCGTGAGGGGAAGCGATGAGCCCCCACCACAGCAGAGAGGCCTGGGCCTGGGCCCAACTCTCGGGCGAAGGTAGCACCGCATTTTTCTATAAAAAATAGTTTATACAAAGAAACAATAATGTCAAAAATCTAATTTTAGCTTCAGTAAATATTCACAAATTTTTATTTCTGTCTAATTATACCATAAATAAAACATTGGTCGTAGTCGTGCATTTTAAAAATTTATGAAAAGAAGTGCAATTTTTTAAAATTATTGTTTATTTTTATTCCAATTCCTAGATGTTATTTGAAACTGATACTTCTTAACTTTACACTAAAATCCAGTCAAAAATTATTTTTATCTAATCTTAACGGTTTTAGTGAAAAGTGGGCTGAAATTAGGATTTATTTTTTTTCAGTGTAACAGAAATGCACGCCTGGCAGACTGGTCCTGGGACAGGGGTGGCAGTACGAGGGTGAAAATTAATCTATCTTATTTATTTCGTTTGAAATATTAAGTATTAAGTAAACATTCAGTTGAACTTAAAAAAGTTGAAAAAACAGCTGAAATTATCAAAGAAAAAACCTGCGATAAATCTGTGTCATTGATTTCGTTCAATTGCCACGAAACTTTTAATTTTTCCAATACTTTTTTAATTTTTTTCTTCTTTCTTGCAATCAAAATTACAGGTAGTTATATTGGACACCTCGATGACACTGCCCCCCGATGCACCAGAGGCACCGGCATGAATTGATTCGGTTCGGTTTCGTGAGGGTAAGTATTTATTCCCTCACGGGACGGAATCAATGATCGTCCGGATAGCACAAAATACCGTTTGTTTCAGTCATTAATGCAACAACCACAAAAATCATCTTTTAAATTTACCAAAATACCTACAGATTGACATAACTTTCAAAATAAACATAATTTTATCATTATTACGTCGTCTTAACTATAATGAATACAGTAAAGAGTTTGTTCTAATGTTTTACTATCGATATGAATAAATTTAAACGTTTAATAATTAACGCTTAATTTATTTACTAAAATTATTATTTACTATTTTATGTAGAAATGAATCTTGAACAATTGTTTAAAGTGTTGAATTAAACACATTTATAATATATTGTTATATGGTTCTAAAAATATGTTACTTATGCAGGTAGAAATAAGTCGATCTCTCGGAATAATAACTAGTAATATTAACGCTTCGATAACTTCAATAATTTTTATAGACAGGACACGATGTGCGGCAAGGGACTAAGGATCCTTTCTTAGTAAAAAAATAAAATTAAAAAGAGAGAAGCCTAAACAAACCCGTTTTGCTCAGACTCATCCCTACAACGCGTACCAAACCGATCAACACTGGACGGCAAAAATACTCTTTTGCTTTTGCAAGCTTCCATGACCTAATTCCGTGGAACTGGATTTGGAAATTGAAACTGTGCGACAGTCCTATTACTCTTAAAAAAATTTTGAAAACATCATTTAATTATATATATATATAATGAAAACTATTTGAATGTACCAAACAAGTTATATTGCATTCAACTAAATTATTTTCTGTTCTTAAATAAATATTTATAAATGAAAAAGATTTATTTAAAAGAAATAAAGTATTTTATGAAACTTATTTAGTTGGTTTAAATATTTTTGTTGACTTAAAAGAATCCTCTTGTCTTTTAACTTATGATTGTATGTTATTATATGCATGTTGTAAATTAACTTATATTAATTTATAAAAAGCATACATTCAGGGAAACTATATATGTTTAAGTCAAATACTCTATATTTTAAACAAAGTTTGTTTAATTTGAATAAACATTTGGTTTAATTATTTAATAAATTTTGCGTTCGAAGAAAGAATTTGGTAATTAAATTTAGTTAATTAAATAATTGGTGTTAAAATAACTCGCAACAAATTTTACTCTTGTAGGTGGCGCCATGTTCTGTTATTTAATTTCGCATCACTCATAAAAAATCACACCAAGTTTTTTCTGTATAAATAAAAAATCTTTAATTAATTGTTTATAATGAATGTATTTGGTTCATTCAAACAAATTTTTTTCTGCGTGTATAAAATGCATTTTATCCATTATACTGTAAACAAAGAACAACTTTCTCTATTTTAAAAACATCGCTACCTACCTGAAAACTTGAAAATAATTTCCTAATGACACACGATAACGACAATTATAATTTTGTTTTTTCGATTTGAATCATAAATTTAAAATGAATTTGAATCCAGCTGGGATTTGCCGGAATAAGTAAAAAGATGCGAACTGATTATGAATCTTTTTCATATTTGTAAGTAAATTTGGAAATAAATATTGAAAAACGTAATTATAAAAGTTATATTTTTGATGGATATGAGCGATCAAATATTGGATCTATGTGTACTATTTCTTAATTAAAATCCTTTTTTCGCTAAACGAGCCCAGTTGCCCAGTAATGAGTAAAGTGTACCTTCCTCTTTTATTTTCAGAAAATCCCATCCCAAAATAGTACTCTTTCCCTTTTAAATTAAAAGTATTCTATCAGATGAGCTGATTGTATTGAAATCACATCAAGAAGAAGTTGTCGAATTTTTTCGTCAACAGTTTCTCTGGTATGCGGAAATGCTAGAAAATGCGTTGCTGCAGCGCATGTCCATACTACAACTGAATGAGATTTTGCAAAGAGTACTTTACCTGGTTGTTGACATGTGTCGCAGAGGCGGAGGTTGCTGCTGTCGAATGAGGGCCATATTCGTAGTGCCTCTGACGATGTCTGTTGACCACATGTGAGTCCCTCGCGTCTTCAAGGTCGCGAGCATCGCGAAGGTCACGATGGTCGCGCGGTTCGCGGTTTAGGTGATCCCGTGTTCCGCGAGGCTGCCTAGACATCGCCAGCTCCTCCTCCTCCGAATCGAGCAGCAGCTGCTCGACTCCTCCTCCGCCACTATCTCCGCGTCGAGCGGAATAACGCCAGAGGTCACACCATCCTTGTTCTTCCTCCTCTGACGCCCCACCGGCCTCGCAGCCAAGGGGCAAACGAGTAGAACCTGGGGCTCTCACGACCAACCTGCCTCGATATGCCTCCTGCCCCCGCGATCCTCCGGGGGACTCCACCACATCACACCTGTCAACTACTTCGCCTGGAACCCTCACGACACTCTTCACCTGATAACGAGACACTACGAGCAACAGCACCACCGTCTTGATACCTTCTTTTTCTCTTCTTCCTTATTTCCACCCTCTTATTGTTTCTGCAAATTATACCAAAAAATATTATCAGTCAATTTACTCCTTCATAATAGTAATGATTGTAATATTTCAAAGAGCCATACAATAGTCTGTTAAAAATAGCTTACTGCAAATGTGGTGTACTTTTGTATAAACAGAATGCAGCAACTTTATCTGAAAACTGTGTTGCTATATTGGAAAATATGATCCCAATACGTCCAACTGTTGTGGTACACGTTTCCACCAGTCGGAAAAAGCAGAAATAATATACGTTCGCCATTCGCTTAGATGCGTAAGCGTACCGACAGGAATAAAAGCTAAGCCTCAACATTTAACTTTTTCCCCTTTTTCCAACCAGTTGAAACTCGTACTTAGATACAAAGATAATCACTGAAGAAATGTTATTCTTCAATTAGAAATATATAAATCTTGACTCATATTTTAAAAATATGTACCATATTTTGAAGTAAACTATTTAGTACAGCTTCTGCCGCAAAAGTGAGCATGAACTAAACAAAGGTGGAGAAATACTGTTGCGCCAAGGTCACTTTTCTGAAGAGCTCAATTTAATGTTTAACGGGTGTATCAAATTTTTTTCTATGCAGTATTCATTTCTCAAGATGAATAGAAACTAAAAATATTTATTTATTATTGCTTTAAATAAAAATTCTCAAACATCTACGACTGAATTTATTTTTTCTAAAAAATTGTTGGGTTACATTATATTTTTATATATCAAATTTTTTTCTAATATACCGATGAATCCGTTATACATAATTGAATTTATAATAACAATTTAAGGGCATTTGAACCATGATGACGTCACAGATTTAAAACTAATGCTTTGCACAAACTGTGACGTCATCAAGGTTCAAATCCCCTTAAGATAATGAAAAAAAATAATCTACTTCTATTTATCCTGAATTTCATAACAATAAAATATTCAAATATATATTTATATATTATAAAACATTTATTTGTTAAATATTTGAGTTTTTTTTATATAGTTTAAACACTCTTAATGGTACCTATACTTCAAAACAAAGAGTTTTACCTATACTTTAAAAACAATAACCAAAAAGATTTAAAAATAAGAGCTGTCCAACTCTTTCATACTTAATCTAACAAATCTATTTTGTAATTTCAAAATTTACAAAAAAATATATTCTACTAGTGAAATAGAAGTTGCATTTTGAAAGAGAATAAATCATTTTTCAAATACAAAATATTCCATACGTAATTGAAAATAGGTTTTCTTATTCAATAATGAATATCGAATATACTATAAAATAATAAATGTATTATTAGACAAAAATGACATATACAAATCTGCGCGTTTTTAAGATAAATCTGATGAACAGAAAGAGTAGTAATAGAAACTAAAACAATTACTGTTGTTACTCATTTCTAAAATAATATAAAATTTTATTATAATAAACTTGTAAAAGTGATTCATTTTGATTAGTCTAAACATGAAAACAACTACAATCTTATAAGAAATTAAAAAAAAGGTAACCCATACGTGGACTCGTCCTCCTGCATACTCATGTTGTCACAAGACACAAATCTAGGGCTGTGGGTCGCGCCCGGTTTAGCTCAGCTGCACCCCACAGCAGTGTACATTTATTTATTAATTTTTTCCCTTTGATTTTCGTACCATTTTATAACAGTTATTTTATTTTATTTTATTATATTATATTAATAATTTATACTCACATCAATAAATAGATGACCAATTCTCATAATTTCCTTGTCATGTGTAACTGAATCCTTATATACTCTTCTGTATATTATAGTTCTGGGATATTACGTGATGAAATATCAATTTTAATTCATAAGTTTATTCACTGCACACTCTTGAACAACCAACAATAATGTTAAAGCAATTGTTTACAGTAAACTAAGGTAATTATTGACGATTTCTCAATATGTTATATTTTCAATTCTAACCCATTGAAAAAATAATTATTAATTATTTTTCAAGAAAGTAATTTCAAAAAAATGGATTGCACATGTACTGTTTATGTTACAAATGTTTACCTTGCTGAACGTAAAAATTGAATGACATCTTTATATTCTGATGACAGTCTAATTAGAAATTATTTTCATATCACTCGGGGGAAGGAGTCACTGCAAAAAAGGGTTGTAATAACTAAAAGGGTTGTTTTTCGCGACGATTATGAAAACTTGAAAGCCCAATACGTTGACGGTGGCAGACGACGAATACTCTCGGCTTCGCGCACCCTCGGATGCAATCGGCTATTCTCGGTAGCACTCGATTATAGTCGTTTGAGTTCGGTTTGTAACCAGATACATGGTAGAGACTTTCAGGTATCGATCTGTATATATACTGTATAGGCGCATGCGAATGACAATCATAATACGTCAACAAACTTTTCAATAATAAGAAAGAGACACACGACACGTGGTCAAACATTTAATAATTTTTCCTCCAACTCTTGCTATGGTTATGCAGTAATTATATTCTTCGTCTCACAATGTTTGTATTATGGTTTTCTCACATTTCGTCAGGTTATTAAGTATTTAATTAATTATTTATTAAATTAAACATCCAACTATTGAGACACAGCATTTAAAATGACAAGTAAATTTAGACAAAGTCCTTGTCGGTCATGTAGAAAAGCATGCATTTCGCATAGGTCTGTTTCACTCGCACTCATACAAGGGGGGATTTTCTCGCGTATGGCATATGCATACAGCCGTGTAATAATGCGTTATGGTGTACTCCACATATACTTTGGCTATAAAATCTAAAAAATAATTTTTTTAAAATTATTTTTAGAATTAAAAGTTTTATATGACAGAATTTTCTTTTCGACAAAATTTAATTTTTCAAATTCGTATTTGACAGAAATTTTTTTAAACTTAAGATCAGAGTTATTATTACACTTTTCCATGGACACGAAATATAAATGACATAGAAATAAACAAAATATTAGAAAGAATATTAAAAATTAATTCTCTCTAAAGTAAAGTATTTTTGCAATCTACTGTACATCCCGACATCACTTTTGGTACGCTGGTTTGAAAGCAAATGCATGGGGAATCTACGTTATCAACAGAGAATAAAACAGCAAATTATAAACTTTGATTCTTATAGTTGTCACTTCCATTTCAACCAGGACTATTATAAAGAGAAGAAAAATAATATATTCAGCATCCCTAGATGCAATACTATTTTGTTGCCGCCAGCATAATTCATCCTAGGTGTCCTACCAGTCCGAACGATATGTGTAACAAGAAATGATGGCAAATTTCGCCACATGTATTCATAAGTATTCAGTAAAAGCATGTTAGACTTCTACTTTTTTACCTTAATTTAGTGTTGTAGGTCAAGCAATTCTCTATTGACAAATACTTGTTAAAATAACAATTAAAACAATTGAATTTAAAAATTTTATCTCATTTCTGTTTTAAGCGAAGATGAAAAAATAAATATATTTATAAGTGTTATTATGAATTCTCTTAATATAAGAAAATATGAGAGCAAGGAGAAGTACATTATTGCATACAAGATAATGTTTGAGAACCTTTTCTGTCTACAGCAGGTTGAAAAACAATATAATAATGCATTGCTAATGTATAAACATTTAGGTATAGATGAAGAGATTGTCTGAGATCGCGTGCGCAATTTTTCTAAATGTATGGCGATGAATCAGTGAAAGCCATTCGATTTTTTGAATGCAGTTGCAGGCAAAAGGAGATTAATATACATTGTACACTAGTGTGAGCTTGCTTGCCTGGAGAAGCAGTCTTGAAAAAAGTGGGGGGCACATAGCCCTGGGTGGGGATGAGCAACAAAAAGCTTCTCAACTCAACTCAACGTCGCGTTGTTGACGAAGAGGAGAGTGCGGGGAGAGGTTTGGGCGAAATCACAAGCAGCATGGCCGTGTAGAGAGAGTAAGGGGAGGAAGGTAAAACGAGCGAACCCGCCGAAAGCGCATAGCGGATCATAATTCGGCGCGCTGCCCCGCAATCAGGTTCGTCTTCTAATACTTATAACCGTCTTATAAGTCTTAGACAGTTAAAGAAAGAGTGAGTAAGAGTGGGAGGGAGGGAGGGTAAAGGAGAGAGTGAGTGCAGTCGGTACATCTGCCTGGCGGAACCGGCGCCTCTCTAGCTCTACTCCATCTTCTTTCTCTCAGTTCTTAACTTGCCTCGTTCTGTTCACTGTCGTTTCGTCAAAGGTACATACTAAAATGCTTCGCTTGTCTCGTATTCAAAATCAACTTTCGAGTCTCGATGCCTGACAAATGATTCAGTTCTAGTGCAGTGTCTTTCAGCAAAAATTTTTAATGGAGAACGTAGTGTCTTACCGCAAATAATTATTACGCGTAATTTCAAATTAGTAATCGTATTTGGTGCCGTTTCGTTTTTTCACGTTACAGTAATTAAAAACTATTCTACACGTTACTCTTTAAATTATATGCAATTCTTGCTAAAGTATAAATTAATGTGCAGTTTTTCGGAGATTTGTGTTGTATTGGGTGCAGAGTGATATGTTCCAAAACTAACTTTGAATTTTTTCAAGTTGAGCAATTGAAATCTAAAATTGCAGAATTGTTTTGCTTCGTCAAAGTCATCTAATACGTAAATATGCAACGGATAAATATTACATACATTAAAAAGAATATCTTAGTTATTCAGTATATTAAAGGTATTAATATTCGCTCTAACTTTGCAGAATATTTTTGAATACACATTGTTATTATTCCGATGTTAATAAAACTAAAGGGCAAGGCCGCCCATTTGCTCATTCAAGTTAATTGCATGACGTACCACGGTCCATAATGTTAATTACATCGTCCTTCATGCCTTCAGACTTTCGGCAAGGAACCTTTACTGAGAAATTTCTCTTTCAAATCGCGCTTGGTTTTTCTCGCCTTGCACTCAGAATGCCGGAAATTTATCTTATTTTTCATTTATTCCGCTTCTTCTCAGAATAGATCTTGCACATTTAACATTTCTTTTTAATTACAAATTATGAGACTAAACTAACATATTATATTCAATTACCAAATTTTTAGATAATACATTTATTATTAATTAATAATATATGCTTAATATTCAAATGTTGTATTCTAAAACTACTACATTCTCCTCTTTTTTGTATATGCCAAATTTATATTAAAAAATTTATGTTTAACACGATTACCAATTTCTCAAAACAGCATGCATTCAGCATTACTCGAATGAATTTTCAATATACATTCAAATATTATTCTGAGCAATAATGCATATGTGTGTTTTGTTTTCTATTAATACGCGAATATTCATAAGAGTTAATTAATATAGGTTCATAACCTTTTCGTTCTTTTTATTTAAAACAAAACTGATTCTTTATTGTTTATTGCAAAAGTATGATTTACAACAAAGAGAACATTTTTTGTTTTGTTTATATAAGTATTGTTATGAAGTAAGTTAATAAATCTTTAGTCAATTCATCAAATAGATAGATGATATTGTTTTTGACGTGAAACAGAACTGAATTTTTTCTAGTTCAGATTTATTCTTTAGATATAAAAACGAGAAACATTGTTTTTAATTTCTGTTAAACTTAAGTTGACATCAAGTACATAAAATATTACAAGTAAATTTTGATTAGAGGATTATGATTTCATTTTATATATATATATATATGTATATAAAGACAAATTTTAGAAATGACAAAAGCGAGTAGGCGCCACATTACTTTCCCTTTTCTTATCTTTCCTTAAGTCTCTTGTGTTGTTTTGATAAATTCGTAAAATGTAATAGTTTTTTCTAATTCGGAAAATAAGAGCTTTTTGAAAATTCATATGGAAACATTTCTCAGTCTAAATATAATTAATTTTTTAAACATTAAAATTTGAACATTTTATGAAACCAACCATGCAAAAACAAGAATGCTAAACAAAAATTCAAGATAAAGTGTGACGTTTAGTTTTTAAATTGTCGGAAAATAAGAATTAATTTAATTATTTTGTCAAACATATGCTATTTTATTTTCGATATATATTTATGTGATTTTGAAATAAGTTTCCTGTGAATGTTCCTTTTTTAATATATTTAATTGCTCCGTAGCTTTTGTTTCTATCAAAGAGCAACCAAGTTTATTTAATCGATATCTTGGCTTGGCTCTTTTACCCCATGTATTTCGAACCCTCCGCAAACCATCTTAATGACCAAGTCGCACGCATCGATAAAGTATTAAGGTACCTAGATTCAGAAGCGACGCGACCTGATGTAATGAAAATAGTTTCGTGATTCGTATTCTTTGCATTTCAAGATTTCAATAAATTAGGTAATATCAAATCTTATAGCACAGAGGAACAAAAAATTCTTCTTTAAATCCAATTTAATGATGTCTTACAAATGCCAAACAAACATGCAGCAAGAAATATTTATTTATTTTACCTCGCAACTAGAATAATTAAGTTTATTGTTGTGCAGTATTTTTTTAAAGAAATGATATTTTGGATTTCGTAAAATTTCAAAGCAGAAAAGCATTGTAAGGATGAAGAATATACATTGCAGGAAAACTGAATTTCTGGAGGTCAAAAGATAATATTTACAGAGGATTTCTTGACAGTGTAGGTACACGCTGGGTTTAAATGAGAAAATGAAAAATGTATTTGTCTAAATGCAAAAAGTTTAAAGTATTTTTTAAATTCAATCTTTTAAATCGCAGGTATAGGTTCAAAGCCCAAAAGATAATATGGAAGAAAGTAAATGCAAGTCACTTACGACTTTCTATTATCATGCAATTAATGGAGATATCATACTACTGTTGAGAAAAGATAAATAAACATCACTCTTATCGGTTGGTACCTTCCTTATCGGTTATAGCCTGAAATAATTGCGTGTTGAGCGGACCAAAACAAACATTTATTATTTATTTAAATTTGCAATACATAGTTAAAATAATAAGGCCTAAAATATTGTTCTCCTATTTCTTTATCGTATCAAGAAAAATAAATACAAGACAATATTTGCAATTATTAAATATTATTAAACGATAATAAAAATTGTTAATAATTATGCTATTCTTAAGAGGTTGAATAAAGATTCGGTTTCACTTCTTCTACCTGATGCGATTTTGTATTAGAGTTGCAGATGTACATAAATACATACATTCAGTTATTGTAGATTGAGTGCTGTGTCGGGTCTCCTCCTTCTTGCCTTCTTGGTATACTGCAGGAAAAAAGAATCCAGCTGTCTGGATGGCAATTGCGTACTAAATGTATTTGATGCCGAATTTGCCTCTTTTGCACTTCCAGGTATACTTTTAGTCCTCTACTTAAATATTTAGTTGTACGTCAGAAAGGAACTAGGTGCATACCTGATGTAGCGAGTTCGGGTACATGCGAACGTTTTTCTTCTCATACAGCTTCTATTCTCATTTGTTTGAATAACGGAAAAAATGTGCAAATTCATTTGTGCTCAGAGTCAAATGTTGACATTCATCGAAATTTTTAATTATTCGAGAATTGTCTGTCAGGGTAGTAGGCAAAAAAAGTAAATGTAGAAAATGTTGATAGTGATACAATTGTTACAATATTGTAATATTTGAGACTCGGAATTTTCAGAGTGAAATATTTACAATCAGTTTACATTGAACATGAATGTACGCATGCGTGTCAGGCTGTTCACAGAATGTATACCGCATGTGCACTCAAGGACTCGCCATAGTTGTAGGGCCGGAGATTTCTTTCTAAACTCAAGAGACGCTGCTCCTTTTAGAAAGTAGCCAGGAAGAGGCATTTATTTTTCGGTGCAAATGCAATATGTGCTACTTCCATTAACAGCACTTTAGCTTTGTCAGAAATTGGAAATCTCAGGGCTGACATCCCTACGATAGTCTCACAATTCTCGGAACGTATTAACTCTAGTCGGCATAATACAAATCTCTCTCTTGCTCTTGCCATCTTTTAGGTCTTTTTGCTTCCTTATGCTCTCCTCTCTTTATCCATGGAAAATTCAGTATTCTAAATGGCTCAAGTTCCCCTGATTCCATTAGTCTCGGTTTTTAAGTAATTCGAAGCGTTATATGGTACTTTCTCAAATAAAAAGATGTGTTCACTTGTAAAACATTAGTCCTAAAGTTTTCAACGTTTAAATGAACGAAATTTACTTCTTTCTTTTTCCTATAATAATATTGCGTTATAAACCTGTTAAAAAATTATTTATATAAGATTTTAAAATATTGAATTACTGTAGAATTTAAAAATATTTATATCGATAAAAAATCTCGCTTATTTGAACGTTCAGAACTTGTAGATCATCATTATATAGGTATAATGAAGAATTCCAAAAATAAGTTGTTTGAATTAAATACTCTTTTATCAGACTCACTTATACTTAACGTTTATTTAGACAAGTTATTCTTTAATAAATATTTTAATTTATATTCCCACACAGCAATATTGCTGCAAGTTTCGGTGTAAGGTGTTGGATAATTTAATTTTAATATACGGCCGGCCTTATGATTCCAAAAAATGTATTTTTCCTTAAAATGCGTAAAACAACTTTGATCGTAAAGTGACTATTTATAAATATGCTAATCTGCACTATCGATGCGCATAAAAATGTTTACGTACTATGAAAAACATACATTAGTTAAATGAGTTTTGTTTTGACTTGACAAGCAATACTTATTGAATGTATTGCCGACATACATATAAGTAAAGGAAGAGTAAGAGAGAGGAGAGACTTTGGTGAATGGTGATGATCAGACGATCGAATCGGTCATTAATTAATGCATAGAGAAGCAATATAGTGTGTTGTTAAGTAGACTTTAACCTGTCGGATTTTGAAATTAAATGAGGCACCCCTGATCCAGAAGACTTGGGGAGTAAGGGGCAAAACATTGAGCCACACCTAGAATTCGCAGCATTCCAATGGCGACCCCAATCTTGACTCGTCCCAATCTATTCCGGGTATATTATACTGATTGTGAGTTGTACCTAGGTACGAGCAAGTACATACATACACCATCGCGTAACACACACTGAATGTCGTGTATAGGTTTCACGATCGATACGGAATTCGGGGGTTCTTCCTCCGGGCGGATTGCTCTAGCGAAAATGTAGACTCTATTCTCCAACTGTCTTACACACACTATCTACATTTATTTTTTCAAAAATTCTTCAAACAATTCTCATTCAATATTCATTTTTTTTATTAAAAACATATGCTTCTAATTGTAAATTAATTGCTCAACTATTGAACCAATCAATATTTTTTACTAATATTTCATTTACGACTTTGAATTTTCTACATAACTAAAGATTTTATTGAATAATGATTTCACTAATTTTTCATGGAAAATTTAATTTTATAGTAAGATTAATAACATGTCTTTTATTTAATTATTAACCGAATTAGTAAAAAACGACTAATTTAAATTCAGAGAGTATTTAACGTAGATGTCTTAAATGGGTAAATTCAAGTTGCAATTAACAATGTACAAAATTATAAATAATATGCATTTAAAAAGTAAATCTTTTAATACTGAATAACTATATATTACTATTCTTATATCGGTTCTTTTAAAATGTATGCAGCTAAACATTTTAAAAAGTATACGCGTTCTAGGCTTATAAAACACATCGGTCTCACCAAATAGGACGCGATTTTTTCTGTAATAGGCACAATAATTTATTGAAGTACAACGTGTAAACGTGTAAATAAGACACTACGTTCATCTTTTTATTTCCTGCAACATTCATTGAAATGATCACTTTAAAAACTTAATATTAATTAAGATTTCTTTGATTGCAGAGAGGCGAACATATAAATGAAGGAGTAGAAGGAAAGAAAAGAATGCAACAAAAAGAAGGATGTTTATTGTGGTGTTGAGTGCCAAAGAAGAGTAGAGTATGCTAAGAAAGAAAATAATTGGAAAAAACCTATATTGCATTCGCGAATATTTGGTAAATGAAGAATAACAATTTTGAAAGAATAAATTTTATTTGTTCAATTTTTTATCACTGCCCACTGGAATGGAGTATTATTTGCAAAATGGAAAGACAGTACGCACTAAAATTGTGGTTAGTCGGAGGAAATTTGAGTGACATTTGATGACCAGTTAGGAAAAAAGATTTTGCTGTCAATCAACCTGAGTACTAACTGACTAGGTAACTAAATAAGAATCTTTGTCAATTAATATTCAAATTCTGCATGTAAAAAGACATATGAATATTCTTTGAAATCTTTTTAAAATTTATTATTTATTTATCAAAGAACGAAATAGGGTTAAATTAGTTTCTATACATTCTCTTTTTAGTGTGTAATTGTTTTTTGTTTCAGAAACGACTCCTGAGTTCGAGAGTGGTTCACACTCTACTTATCCATATCATTTTTTGCAACATGAGATGAGATAATGGTGCTAATAGGAAAACAATAAGATTCAAAATTTTTCAAATAGAAAATTTATAATTTTGATTAAAAATTTGGTTTCATTGTTGCTTAAAATCTTAATTTCTAATTAATATTCTTTTGGCATTTTTAACTAGAAAGTTAAAAATTTGTTGTCTTACCTCAGAGAAAATTGCAAATAAAAATCAATATTTTAGAATAAATTGAAGTAAATTGAAGTAAATTGAAGTAAATTGATAGAAAAGGGGTAAAAGTAGGTTTAAGGTAAATCAGACTGAGCACGATAGCACCGCTGGTGCCCTTGGCCGTGGGTCCCGGGGGGACGGACGCCATGGCGGCCTCCTCGTCCTCGTCGAGTGGCGAACAACAATACTCCCTGCGATGGAACGACTTTCACTCGAGCATTCTTAGCTCATTTCGGCATTTACGAGACGAAGAAGATTTCGTCGATGTCACTCTAGCATGCGACAGCAGTAGCTTCTCGGCGCACAAGGTTGTCCTCTCAGCCTGCAGCCCGTACTTTCGTAGATTACTTAAGGTAAGATATAAATATTCTTATAAATTAGAGCAGTTCAATACTATTCAAAACAAATTACTTCCATCGATTTCAAAGTACATAGAGTTTTTGGATGTCTTTTGGATTGACTTTTCCAAAATATCTTTTTCTCTTACGTCTGACTTTAATTGCAACACTTGATTCGACCCAACAAAATAATGCATTCAATTGATCGGCGAGCAAGCTCGGAGACAGTTTCCAGCATCTTTATTGGAAAGACAGAGCTCCAACTGTAATGTAAACATGCGTTCACCGCTCGAGCTTCTTTTTTTTGAAAATATGAATAGAACAAGTCAATATAGTTTCGTTTTTCGTTGTGCTCTTACACATTCGTCTCTTTATTTTTATTATTTTCTCTTGTTCTTGTAAGAAGGGGGCGGGAATATTTTTAAGAGGTTTAAGTATCCATCGATTCCACGTGTCTTTCTCCCCTCCTCGAAACTTTATTACAGCCGCGCTGTTCTTCAAAGCCGGAAACAAACGAGATCTCGTCGTGTGTATTTCCAGATACTCACGCACTCGTGCTTTCGTGACCACGTATGACGCGATCATCGGGATAAATTTAAAAACAGTGGCTCACCAACAGCGAGAAGAGATTCTCGCATCTGTACCATGAGCGAGTACACCTAGAAGCACGTTCAAACTGACGCACGTGTCCCCATAAAATACGCACTCCAACTTTAATTATAGAATATGGAGCACAAGTATATGCTGACTTGACATAAATCTCTGCATGTTGGCTATTAAGCTCACTTCAGAGGATGACATTACTGCATTCAAACACATTTCATACAGATACTTTCTTATTTTCCAAATTTTTCCCAAAGCAAATGTACAACGCGCCGCGTGGGTCGACTCGCCCACTGGTTACACGTGCCTGCGTATTTTCCAGCATCGTCCACCGATTTTCATCGCAATACGAATTTCAATCTCACTTGACAAACAAACTTGATAAATGCTCTATTTAGTGTGTCTCGTTATAGCCATTTGGTTTAATTCTTACTTCCATAATGGCAAGTCAAAAGTATTTTTCGCCATCTCTAAATAAATAATTAATAGCAATCACGTGTTGTTAAAAATAAAATTAACAACATTAGCAGTGTAACGAATTGAGTTGCCAGTTTAGCTCGAAAAGAGTGGGAGATGGTATCATTATCGTTGTTCGTTGACTCAAGACATTGCTATATATGTAACGATGTAATTCAAGATGTCAACTACCCAATGACAAATTTGGTAGGGGGTTAGAGAAAGACGAAGAAGGTGGAGAAATTCGATGTGAAGTAGATGTCATGAAAAATAAAAACGAATAAGAATTCTTGGATGGAGAAGGAAGAGGGGAGAAGGCTTCATCTTAGTTTTAACTTTAACACCATTCAAATCCCAATACGCCTACGAATGAATGTACGTACGGACGATGGCTAGAACGATGTTTTCTGAAAAGTCCTACAACGAAAAATTAGAGAGTAGTGGTTGTAGAAAATCGTGTAGGCAAGTACATAGGTTTATCGGTGATTGCACAAAACATAATTAAGTCCGCTTATGTAGGCTGCATATATAGTCGGGTACTCGGGTGCCAGAATACCACAGGACTTGAGTTAAAAATAGGCACTATGCGTTAGGACTTTTTGAATCTCTGCTCTTTTTCTTCTTATACATGTATATCTACTGTAATTGTCTTTTCAAGTCAATTTCTACAATCTTCTTTCCATTTATTTATTAATTAATCTACCTTGTACTTTCAACATTTCTTTTCTCCTTTTTTGTAAAAAGCAGTTTGTTTTCAAAGTAAGAATCGACTCTAAGGAGTTAATTAACTTCTTCGCTAGTAATCCAACATGGCCGCGCTGAGATGTTTCACAGTTTAAATCGACTCTCAAAAAAGCCAACTTTTAACTCACGATATTTCACTCTTCTCATTTCAATTGAAAAAGGGAGCGACTTTTATAGAATCCCAGTGGGAGTTGAATTTTAACTGTCTTTTTTTAGTGTTTGTACAATGTCTATGGCTGTATTAATTCTGTACATTTGTATAGCACAATTATGGCTGATTCAAAGTCTTGATCATCAAAATTTAAAAGTAAAATTAACTTTTACTACGTGTGTGGTAAAAGTTTTTGTTTCTAATTATACTCGTTCATTTATTATAATTTATTATAAACTAAAGCCATACTGAAGAGTTTGTTGATATAGTCTTTAAATAACACAAATAAGTAAATGCATTTTTTTATTAAAATGATAGAAAACTCGCACAATAAGTTTTCAAAAAATTCTTAATCAGTACTTTTAATTTTATCAAGAGAATTTTCAATTGAAACCTTCTTAAAAATTTGATGCCACATTGCTAGGTTTTGAATTTAAAAATTTCCAAAACAACAAGAAAGTAGAAAAAGAAAAAAGATTGACGTAATAATGATAACATTTTGCATTTGTGGAATCCGCATAAGATTTCGACGTTCTTTTAGCAGTATATAGGTTTATTTAATATTACACTTAAGCTCAGCACCAAGTACTTACAAACACGCAAGATCGAGAGTTGACGTATATATGTGTATTCAGCAGACGCATGTGTAGCATATTAAATAAGTGTAATATTATTGCTCTGCACACGGTAAATGTGTACACACATGACACACATTCAACTGCTTCTCGAGTGTTGGTGTTGCGTCGAGTAAAGCGTGTACTGAGACACATTATACCGAGTGTATTTTTATCAACGGAAGTGCGTCGTTGCCGGTTGCGCATTCCTGTAACTACTGTCTGGAAAAGCAATGCACGAGTCGCACATAAATGTCTCCTAGATTGTATTTTTACACGGCTCCGATTGTGAGATGTTTCCCAAATTATAAGATCCCATCTCTGCATTCTACACATACAATTACAAAATTCATCCTAATTTTCGAGTTGATTTATTTTAAAAAATTTAAATGTTACAATAAAGGCGTATATAATTGTTTTCAGTTTTCTGCATGTTGGTGATGTAGAATCACTAATCGTAAGTATGTTTTGTGAAGCCATGATTGCTCGTGCTCGACACGTAAATGGATCAGAAACCATGCAATTGTCATTACCTATAGTTAAGGAGCTTCACATCACATGCATACCCTCACGACATATATGTATGAGTATGCATGACTAACTCTCAATGATTCAAACACATACTTAATACAGCGTGTTCCAGCGTGTTCGCTGGAAAAATAATAAAATATCGATTTTTACGAAATTCTTATTAATTGTTCAACAAGAACGTATACATATAGGACATTATAATACATCAATAAAGAATATTAATATTCTATTCTAATAATTCTTCCAATATTCCTTCAGTACGTCAAGAATGCTGAAATTGGAAACATTTTCTGCAATTTTGCAAATACACTCGTACATACGTAACTCATTTACCTGCAAGTTGTCAATTATGGCCCCTCTTCACGAATTTATATTAAACTTTTTTTGGGAAATTAAAAAATGTTAAATTATTCCCATACATTGTAAAACAGATTTAGTATCTTTTTCTCTAATTTTAGGCAAATCCATGCCAACATCCAATCGTCATTTTGAGGGACGTCGCTTCTTCCGACATGGAGTCCTTGCTGCGGTTTATGTATCATGGAGAAGTTCATGTAGGACAGGAGCAGCTGGCTGCATTCTTGAAGACGGCTCAAATGTTGCAAGTTCGAGGTTTGGCCGATGTCAGTAGTGGTGCTGCGGCGAAAATCCCACAAGCACCTTCGTCGACTGGAAACAACGGTAGCGCACCAGTAAGTAACATGCCACGTAAAAACTAATATTAAAAAAGAAAACCTTTCCATTTACCATGGTGAAGAAACTAAAGAATTTGTAAAACTCCATTACGCATATTTGAAAATATGTAATACTTTTGCTTCAGGCTACGCCTCGAAATTCATGGCAAGACAGTGGTCGAGGGGACGCTAACGAAAGTGGTATTGGTTCACCACCGGAAAAACGGCCCAGAAGTTACTCTCCTCCTATAGGAAACCATATAGAACCAAAGACAGATCTTCAAGAGTCTCTTTTGGGACAAGCACTCGAAGGCGGTCCAACGATACACACAACCCCTACCAACAACTTACAGGTAAGAATCACCTCTATATTTTCAATTTCACAAAAAATATCCAGGAAAGTATTAAAATTGAACACTGGATGTTTACATATTATACTTTTCTCTCTCAAATCATTTTTTTAAAACTCAGTCTTTCCCTTGATAAATAAACAAATTTATTCAATTACATGAAAAAATGTTCTTGACATTTTCATATCAAGAAACAAGAATTAAATAAACAGCAATCTAGATATTGAAAGAGTTTTAAAATAAAATTGTAATAAATTTCAGGCACAATCTACTGGAGAGGATTCGAATTCAATGACAGACAATGAAGAGGACACGTCGAATAATGACAGTATTTTAAATTCAGTGAAGACAGAGCCTAGTGATATTCTCAATGACTCCTTGGAACATCATCGTAATAGTTTTCCAGCTGCATTGTTGGGACTTCAAGGTGTGTATATATTCCCATACAATCATGTATTGCTTCTACTAGTGTTGAAAAGTACTAGTGTTGAAATAAGAAATTTTGAAATGGCACTAAACAGAATTTATTATTTTTAGGTTTGATGCCAGGACCTTCGGGAATTCATGCAGCGAATCAGGATCCAAATTATGGTGAGTAGATGACACTTGATTATTTTTTCATCTAATGATCATAGTCCAAATTAGTATCCTCCTGACGTTCCTTAGAACTCTGGTCTCTCGTTGTTGCGTTGAATGCATGGAACTCTCGTACCTCTCACAACCCTATAATTCCTTCCCTAAACTCGGAGAATTAATATTTTTTCTTTGTCAATAAACAAGTACGGACTAGAGAGAAATTTCAAGTTTTTTGAATTATTCGTAATTCTTGTATTGGGATAAAATTACTTTGTGTCTTTTAAAGCAACAGAGACCAAAGGTGGAGGAGACATGACAACAACCTGATTATTTTTAGTAAATATATAAATTGAAACTATTGAAAAAATCAAAAGTGGTAATTTAGCGGACAAATGTATTAGTAAAAGATGAAACGTGACATGGTGGTGAAGTAATTTACGACGTATTTGAGGAAAAGCTCAATGATAAATGAACTCGCGGGGTGGGGCTCGATAGTAATTCGGCTTTATAGTTCAGTTGTTGAAAGTTAAATTTAAAAAGTAGACCGTAAGAAGGGCTGTGGGAGGAAAGAGACGATTAGTGTTTAAGGGATCGTACGAGATTGGCTGAGGACTGAAAAATTGGCTGGTGGTTCCAGGGCGATGGCAGCCCTCAGGAGGAGACGGTTCAGGCTCGAGCTCTGGCTGGCTGCAGGCAACTTCCTCCTCCAGGAGTGAACCGGACGGATCAGGCACTCTCCAAATTGTTGACGCCAACTCCAAGAAGGACCACCTGCATCACCATCAGCAGCAGCAGCAGCACCACCATGCCAATAGCCAACAGCCGCAGCAACACGCTAACCTTAACTCTCTCAATAGTTTAAATAATCTTAATAACGAGCAGCTTTCCTTGATGCAGCAGAAATTGCAGAGTATCCAGCAGCAGCAGCAGCAACAGCCGCATCACGGGTCGTCCAAGAATGACCAGCTCAATATAATGTTGCAGTCGTGTGCTAAAAAAAAGATGGACGCAATTACGATTATCAATCCTTACCAACAGCACCAACTGGACCCCAATAACCAAACTGGGAAACCAAAATGTCCGGAATGTGGCAAAATTTACTCAAACAATTCAAATCTCAAGCAGCACATCGTCAACGTGCACACCGTGCAGACTGAATTCATATCTTGCCACATTTGCAGCAAACCGTTTAAAACCAAACAATATCTTCAAATCCATCTCTTGTCCATGCACGGCATTCGAAAGAGAAAAAGCTACCCAGTCTATCAAATGCATCAGACTTCTATTTCTCAAGTGATCACACCTGGGCAGTCGCCACAGCAGCAACAGCAGCAACCTTTTCTGTCAGAAACGAGTGAAAGGTGGTCAGACGATAAACCATGATAGGACAAGCACTTGTGTTCAAATACATTGAAATGTGGAACGAGAACGTGTGAAACCTGAGTCCTGACTAAAACGAAAAGATATTCTTCTTCAATATTAATTTCTTAGAGCCATTTGACTTTTTTTTAACTTTTACATTTCCAAATGCAAGTCGGTGAGACTTGCAAGTGCAAGTGTCACCGACTTTAAATATAAGTTTCTTAGAAAATTAATTATTTTTGCCAAGACTTATTCACTCAATGAGTTGCGCGAAATATGCATACAGCGAATATTTGTGATCTCATGTATGTACAAAATTTTACTTACACGCGTTTGTTGAAATCATGGGAGAATACTATACTTCGTATTGATCTCGACGATTCAACAAACAACGCCTAGTACCTCCCTCTCCCTCTCCATTTCTAACTCTATCTCCCTCTTTTTCTTCATTCCACTTTGTTCGTCTTCTGTCCCTTTTGTGCCTTTTGTGAAACACCCTCTCCACACTTTTTTTTCCTATTCTTCATGTGTTTGATATTGGAAGGAGAAACAGCAAATTCATCCCGTGATTCTTTCACTGATAGATTGATGGGATTGTATAAATCAAGATTCGTTTCAATTTTTTATACATTTCGTCATTTCTCTACATGTATATGTACTATCATACAACCAAGTTGATCTCTCTAAATTTCTTCAATTTCGCAGTTAATTGAGTTCCTTTCATGGAATAAGAAACTGGATTTGTAAAATTGTTTTTCAAAATACTGTTGACAGAAAAAACAAAACTTTGCTATGTTTTTATGTGAAGCAACAGAAGACTGTTCCTTTCTATACTGTAAACAAATTTTCTGTATATATTTAGAATTTTGTTATAGTTATAGAATTTTATAGAAACTTGTAAAAATTCGATTTTTAAGTTAGTGAATTTAAAATACCTCTTGAAAAAGTAATACGATTAATGTGTCCGAAAGGGAATTTAAATTTGCTGATTTTAAAAAAATAATTTTACAAGTTTCTACAAAATTCCATAACAATACTTAATGTATAGAAAAATTTATTTACAGTGTAGCTAAACTAATTCTGATCAATTTATCATAGATTCAGCCTCCAAAAATTGAGTTTAATTGAGAATTATTGAGAATTTGTTTTTAGTATAAAGTTTTTGAATCAAATCCTTCCTTTCTACATTGTATGATAATTAAAAAATATTTTTCTATATTATTATTTCTTATTAAACTTTATCCAGATTCGTATTTCTAGCTTGAGTTAATTTTCCACTTGAATTTGTTTAGGTCGAAACTTAGAGCTTCCGAAATCGTCTATAGTTGAAATGAAATTTTTTTCGATTCTAGTGTCGAGCTTTTTTCTATTTATTTTGAGAAAAGTGCTCGCTGTTTATTTGAAAATATTGCTTTTTGTTTTGTAAATTACATTTTCCATACATATAATTTGTATTAAAAAGTCCAATAGGGAGAATTACAAACTGAAATTGAGGATAAGCTAGATAATTCAAAGATGAATGCAACATGTCACGGTTAAGCCGTGTCTGCTTTTGTTATCCTGCATCTTATCTCGTGCTATCAAATCTAGTTTAGTTTTGTATGTTTCTAATGTCTTCCGATCTCTTCCCTGCTACAACCCTCCTGAATCCCTTTAGAAAAAGAGGGAGACCTACACATACACACAATTGGTTCAGCAGCAACTAAAAGTTAATTGTGATTCTTCATTTGTTCTTCAGAAAGTTGACAGTCAACTTGAAGTAAGATCCTTATTAATTTATAATAATTTTAGAAATGTATGGCTCTATGGCTCTGCAAAGCATGCTTACAGTTTTGTTATTTATTTTTTGAAGACGACAGTTACTTATACTCTTGCAATATTAAAGATTAAGAGTACAAGAGAAAGAAATTATGAAAGCGATTATTTTTGTGATACAGTACTTATAGTGCACATTGTATATATATTTTGATAATTACGTGCATTTACTGATTAAATGTAATAAGTTTATATTTAATGCGAAATTGTAAGCCTAAAATGAGCTGACATCAATATTAGTGGTCAAAATGGTACATAAATAAATGAATAAATAGATACATACGTGTATAAATATGAAACTTAAATTGCATTGCTGTCAAAAGAATAAAAGGGTGTGCGTTAGTGGGAGTGAGTAAATGGAATTTGAGAGATAGAAGGAGCACGCGCGCTAGAAATAGATGATAAGGGAGGGGTGGTGCTTTCGCGAGGGTCCTAAAATCGATCCCTGTGCAATTTCCCGCACATGTCCGCATTGATCTGCCCTCGGTACCTACCAACGCCCACACTTACTCTTCAACCACCACTTTTCATTTCCTCGGACGCACTAAAAGCTTCAGATAAAAGCGAAAACTAACACAGTCCTTCAATTTCAGACAAGAATCTTACCTAGTTTCTTTCTTTTTTAACATAATACTCTTTTCACATTGGATTTTATGTGGAAACTATGTCTTTGGCATGTAATGCATGCCAAATTATATTATTCTATCTAGAAATATTTTCATTCAGATAAATCATAACATAAGGGTCTCGACTCTGACAAAATTTTGTCAAACTTTCTAAATCTGAATTAGCGAACTTTCACTAATTCCCAGCATTTATACGCTAATTGGAATCAATGGTATACTTATCGCTATTTCAGATTTAGAGAGAGAACCTTAGGATTTTGTCGTTATTTTGGTGAGAGTAATGTATACAATTACATTTCCTTCTGTTCAAATGATTCGTAAATTTAGTGTATAATATAATTATTTATAAATTCATAAATCTTCTTCTTTATTAGTTTACCAATCTTCTAACTGCTACAACATTACTAAACTAATGTAGTGAACGTAATTTTTCCAGATATTCAATTTGATTATGATTGAAAAAATTAGTTTAGAATTTTACTAATAATAAAAGCAGCACAATTATAAAGAAAGTCTTATTTTAAGATAGAAGGAAAATCTTAATATAAGATGCAATATTTTTAAGTCAGCTTTTGCTGAGTTTGCGTAATGGATTTTACAGCTTAAAATAACTATTACGAAGAAAAAGGAATTATTATTATAAAACTAACATCTCCATTTGTTGTTGAACCAAACTTTTAGTTACTTGAACAATTTAGAATTACTATGATGTGGTAATAAAACCTTTTCAAGTATTTGCAGTAGTAACAATCCGATAGTAAACATAACAATTCATTTTTCTCCGTGATATTTTTCTCGATGTCGATAATTACAATTTAGTTTCTTTTTATTATAAATTTAACATACCTATATTTTTTCTGACAAATTTTATAAAAATTTTCCCTTGAATCCATGAAGAAAGTTTATTGAATAATTCTAAAGTATCTGAAGAAATTTTATAAAATATTTTAAGTAAAATTTATTACAAATATTATTTATAGATACACTAAATTTACAGCACATTTTTGCAGTGACACTGAAAGCGTGTCTATAAATTCTTTTCAAGTATTTGAATGAGATACATTTCACTTTTCTCCAGTGATAATAATAATTAAGTCACTCTGCTTAAGTAAGAAAATCATTAAAAATGATGGAAATTTAATTTAAAGTGGAAATTCATTTTAAACGTGAAAAATATAATTGTATTGTTAGTTTTATTGAAAAAAACGAGTC